ACTCACATACATGCCAGAAATACACAAAAATAAATAAATAAATAAATAAATAAATAAATTTATTTATTGAATATGTTCCAAAACCCTACCTGATTTTCAAATGAATGGTTTATAGGTGCTTTATAAGAAGATCCTCAAGTTAAAGAGCCTGATACATTCCGGTTTTTGGCTGGGGAGTCAGTCAGACTTGGATGTGAATCCTCACTCTGCTGCTTATAAGAGAAAGTTGTTTAACTTCTCTGAGCTGCAGCTTCCTCCTTAGTAAGCTGTGGGGAAAGTAAATAGCATGAGCCTTTCTAAGGATTGTACTAGAAAAGATTTGCAAAAATGTTTAGCTTAATGCTTCAATTATTTATAAACATTTAATGAATATCATCTTTTTTTTTCCTTGCCCCTAATTATCATCCCTCAGGGATTTTTGACATTGTCTGGAGAGTTTTTATTGTCACAACTTGGGAGTGTGTACAATTGGCATCTAGTAAGTACAGGCTAGGAATGCCACTAAACATACTACAATTCCCAGGTTGCTCCATGACCAAAATCTAACAGAGAATTATCTGGCCCAAATTATCAACAGTAAGTAGTAGAGGTTGAGCAGCTCTGCTCTGAAGAGTACCTGCTTCATTTTAGATTCATAATGGTATACATTTTCCCTAATAGTCCAAATGCGTTCCTTTAAGTGTTTTATATGCAAAGGCTCATATACAATAGTAGTAAAGGTTAAATAATATGTAGTAATTACTTGATATATGACTTTGAATTGTTATATAATTTGTGAAATGCTATGCTAAATATAAATCTTGCTGCCATAAGATTCTTTAGAATGAGTGGTGTGTAGTTTAAAGGGTAATTTCACTTTATTTTACTAATGACTTCAGTGTCAGGAAAATTCGCATGTCTTCTGATTCCTGTTCCCGACTTTAACAACTGTCCAAGTTTCTATATTGTTCAAATTATATGAATTATACCTTGGAACTATCTCAATTTCCTCCTTTTCCTTTTTCCACCATTTCCATTAATTTAGTTTAGGGTCCTACATATTCTTCTGAATTAGGATAACTCCTTTCTGATACACCTCCTGCCAATACACTGTTTTATCTTGACTTTTTTTTTTCTGAAATCAAGTTGGGCAGTAACACTTCACTGCACATGTTTGAATAGGTCCCCAGCATTGTCTTGATATCTTTCCTTCCACACAGAACAACCTTTTCCTTTAATATTGTATTTATTATTTGTTTTATTTTGTGTGTATGAGTGCAGTGCCTGCACTGTATGTAAGTGTAGCTGTGTCATGCAATGCCTGCAGCAGTCAGAAGAGGGTGTCAGATTCCCTGAAACTGGAACTAAAGATGGTTGTTAGCTGCCATGTGGGTGCTGGGAACTGAACCTGGGTCCTCTGCAAGGCCAGCCAGTGCTCTTAACTGCTGAGCCATCTCTCCAGCCTCTTATCTTTTTTAAATTGATACACAATTATAAAGAAATTTACTTTGAAACAATTGTTTGGTATGTATCTTTTATCACTTATTAAATAAGAAAGTTTGCATATTAATGAGATGAATGTGTACTTGTTTATTTTTGAGAATTTCATATGAAAATTGTCTTTGCATTATTCCCATCCCTCCCAGTCCTCCTCCAACTCCTTCTGTTGCCCTCCTCTCAATTTCTTGTCATCTTTATTATTGTTACATATACATACATTTATAAGTATACATACACACACACACATATATATATATATATATATATATATATACATAGAGAGAGAGAGAGCGTGAGAGAGAGAGAGGGAAAGCACTTAGCCCATTTAGTGGTGCTCCTGTGTATCTGTGTTTAGGGCTGCACACTTGGGATTAGATAACCTTTCAGGGAGTGATTTCCTGGAGAAAACTGATTCTCCCTCCCTCAGCATCCATTGATTACCTGTATCTTTTCATCTCGAGGTGGAACCCTATGGAACTTCTCCATCCAACTTGACATGTCAACTGGCTTTGTCATTATGCAGATCTCATTAGACTACCATACTGTAGAGATTTCATTGGTGCAGCTTTCCTGTAATGTCTAGAATGCATAAACTAGCAGCAGGTGTCTTGTCCCTCTGACCTTTACATTCTTTCCACCCTCTCTTCAGTGATGCTCCCTGAGTGTAAGGTGTAGAGGTTGCATTGTAGATGTGCCACTTTGTGCTGAGCACCTCACACTTACTCTCTACATTTTACTAGTTGTGGAACTTTATAATAGTCTCTATCTGTTGTAAGAGGAAGTTTCTTTGATGAATAGTGAGAAGTACACTTGTCAGGAAATATAAGGATATATATTTAGAATATTCTAAGAAATTACATTGGTCAGAGAACAATCTTAATATTCCAATAATCACAATCCATAGATGTTAATGCTCTTGGGAAAGCTGGAACTCTACAGCCAAGATGAAATAGTCACGATTACTAATGTCCTAGTTGTGTTAATTAGTAATGCAAGAGAAATTACTCTTAACCCATCAGCAATGGACATAAATATATAGCTGGAAGGTAACTGGAAAAGGAGAGAAGGAAGTGTCATGGCTTTCACTGGTATTCTTTTTGCTGCATGGATAGCAATAGTGGTTATTATTAGAGCAGAGACTGATGAGGAGAAGGAGAGAACGAATGGGTTCTTGCCAGAAGGCCAGTAGGAAAAGCCGAAAGGGACAAGAAGTCAAGAGGGACTCTTTCCTCCCCACTCTGAATTCAGGAAAATCAGGAGTTTCCCAGGCCTTAATGAAACCTGTGTGACATTAGTGGGTTTTCTGTTAAGTGCTGGCATGATTTGGTGAAGAGAAATCTGGGAAATGAGGAATTGAACAGTATATGTGCCTTTTATAGCATCATAAGTTGTGAGTGCTTCCAATCTAAGAAGAAACTGAAGAAAATTTGTCAAAGCAGCTTTCATACTTTGGATACAACCTAAAATGGCTTTTCTGAACTATGAGAATGACACTTATTTTCAATAAATGCTCAGTGGCAGGTGGGTTAGCATCTGTAGAACCAAATATATTCATCAAATGGTAAAATAGTTCTATCTAACTGCTCTTAATAGTTTTAGCTTTAGAAAAATAAATTTATACTCATGAGTAAATGCTTCCATATTTATAAAGTACATAAAACTTGACCAATAGTTATGTCATGGACCTTCTCCCTAGCGGGCCCTTACTGAGCAGTAAATCTAATACTCTGAAATTCCACTTCTCTGCTGCTCTTAGAATATACCTACCTCTGGTCTGTGTTCTACTGCCTCTCATCATTATTTAAACAAGCAAGTGAAATGTTATCAGGATAATAGAGTCAGGACCAGTGAGATGGTTCAGCAGGTAGAGTTCAATCCCCAGGACCCATGTTGGAGGACAGGGAGAACTAACGTCTTCAAGTTGTCCTTTGACTTCCACATGTGCTCTGTGGCAGACACACACACACATGCACGCACGCACGCACGCACACATGCACAACAAAGTGTAATAAAAAAAATTTAAACCAGATTATAGAGTCATTAAAAATAATAATAAAATTCTCTTTGCAGAAACACAAGGGTTTCTGACATATTATTTAGCATTGGGTACCCCATACCATTTATGTAGCACTTAATAGTTCATTTCAGAAAATTTCAAGAGCATACTTTTGGCTATTTCTAATTGATACACATTAGTTTTAAAACAAATCTTAAAAGTAAGATGTGGGCTGGAGTGAGATAGCTCAAGGAGTTAAAGCTCCTGCCACACAAGCACTAGGACTTGCGTTTGAATATCCATAACCCTGGTGTTCTTGTGGTGAGATGGAAGGCAGAGATGGGAAGATTCCCAGAATTTTGCGAGCCAGGTAAACCAGCACACACAGCAGAGAACAAGAAGAGACTTCCCCAAACCAGGTAGGAAGTGAAAACTGACACCAAATGTTGGGTGTTCTCTGATTTTCACAATGCATGTCATAGCATACACACCTGCACTCATGTACATGAATATGCACACACATGAAGTAAAATGCAACTTTACCCTATTAAGAGAGCGTGGAGGTAGAAAGGAGAAACTGGAGGAGCATGGCTCCTCTCCTTAAGGAGGACTCAAAACCCTAGTCATGGAATGATTAATTGTACAAGTTAAATTACATGTGGAAGTGGTGAAGAAAATGGAGATTCATAAACAAAGGATTTGTCAGGAAGGCTTTGGGGAAAATGAGAAACAGCAAAATAATAGGAGCGACAGGATTATGTTGGTGGCTTGCTGAGTTATTATCAGAGTTGCCCTCTTTTTCTATTTGGATTTCAGAGGTCTTGACTAAATGAGGAGATCCATGGAGTCAGAGGATAATGAAATGGCAGAAGAGATGGTTTTAGACTAGGGCAAGAAGAGTGTTTAGAACTAGGCCATTACTGCAGAGATCTGGCTCATACTGCTGGAGCGAAGAGAAGTTCAGAGAAGCATATTCTCAAGAAACACTTGGGAGACGCAAGAAAACGTCAAAGAACAGTTTTAGAAAAACCTCTGGGATTGTGAAAAGATACAGTGGCATAGTGTGATATGTCTTGCTGGTCTGAGTCTGAGTCTTAAAAATAATCAGAAATGTAATATACAGGAGGAAAGGATGTGCAAAGGGAAACCATGACTAGGCAGATGGCAGAAGTAGCTGCGCATTATCTGAGGAGAAAGCCCCTGGCTCACAATAACAGACGAAAGATTAATGGGTGTGTGGAGCCTGGAGCAGTGAGATCATGCAGAGTACAACCAGGAGCAATACTGTTAGAAAGAAAAGATGCGACCAGATGACGGGGGCTTGGAAAAAGCAAGCAAGAGAGTTTATACAGCAGATGTGGTCAGCAAAGATCGTCCTTTACATCACAGCTGTTGAAAAACAATCCAGGTACAACTTGCAGCCCAGTCCAAAAGGTCACAAATAATTTAAAATGGCTGTGGAAGGTAAATCTTAAATTTCCTATAATTGAAAATATAATTTTTTTATCTATTTTTTCATTTCCAGCTACATGGGATAACATTTTTAACTAGAAACTATTGTCTGACAGAACTCTACCTAAACAATAATGCAATATTTGAGATTGTTTTATCATTTCTACTGAAAACATGTAATATAATCTATTTTAAGTGTTCTTAAAATACATTTAAATTTTACAAATAGGATGCTAGATCATTTTTCCAATTCAATATTATGTGTCGTTCAGAATTTAAAAGGAGTAAATTTTCGCATAGTAATTTCACCATTGTACTGCATAGTTGGACACAAAACAGCTAGTGTGGAAGCTAAGTTTAGCAATATTTAGGTGGAGAATAAATATAAAAACTGTAAATAGTCTTAGAAGTTTTTAATAGTGCTGATTTTAACAGCCAAATTCCTATTTCCAGTCTGACTTTATTTTATATGTGCAACAATTTCAAGCCAGGTATGAAAGCATATGACTGATCATGATCAGTGTCAGTCATCATCATGTATCAAAATACAGAAGAAAACATTTGGCCTTAGAATCATATATCATGAAGTCAAATGGCATATATTTATCACCCACATAATTTCCTATATTGTTAAGAAAGAAAATATTTCAATTTAACTATGATCTGACGATTATCATACAGACCCATCGTACTTTCATTTATGTTTAAAAAATGGAAAATGTGCAATTCAGAAATAGCAAAAACAATTTGAATATACAGTTTCCCATTCGACAAAGAAAATACTTAGCAAAGCAATTTGAAAGTACATACTGAATGGATGTGAAATTATCCCCTTGATTTGCATTATAAATCTAAGTAGCATACATACACACACACACACACACACACACACACACACCACAAAACCAAACAGAAAGAAAGCATATAACTCAAACTTGAAACTGAAACAAGCAAAGTCACTGCTACAGAAAAGCAAGTGAAGGAGAAACAATGCAGGAAACGGCTCTATACCCTCACATCACAGTCAAGCACTCCTCCTGGACGCTTGGTCATAATTCAGGATATCATTAACAGGCATTCCTTTTTTTACCAGCTAGAATGCATTCTCTGCTAGTTACAATATCTAATTAGTGTGAAAAGATGTTTATTTGTATTTTCAGTTTAATAAAATTCAACTAAAAATGTTGAAAGCCTTGCCAAAAAAAAAAACCAAAAAGCCCTTCTTTTTTTTTTTTTTTAGGCCTGCATAATTTGCCTTCATTGCACATACTCCTGCTCCACCACAATGGGCTAACAAACATTGATGCTACCCCGTGAAGGAATTAAAGGGAATGCTAAACCTGAAGACCCTAAGTATCAACTGCACTTTCTTATGTCCATAAATCAAAATAGTAAAAGCATAGGACTTTTTTTTTTTTTTTTTGAAGTGTAAGCTTACAGGGGCAATGTTTATAGCCGGAACATGTATCTATTCCTAAAATATGATTAGATAGTATTCGTTCTTTTTAAAGCCATAAATATAAGTATTTGTGAAATGATACAGAATGTCAAATGAAGATGACAAAAAATATGAGGATTTATATGTCTAAATCTGTATTTTTAATTTCATCTCATAAGTAATTTATCATTTCAGTTAGTCTGTAGAGGAAGTGGCATGAGCGGTAACTATTTTTAAGTAGGTTAGTATCCACTCAGGGCTGGGGAGAGAAGAGAATTGGGTTTGCTAGCTACAGTGGAAAGGGGTATGGGGTTTCTTTGAGAGGTGGATAAAATGTTTTAACATTGGCTATGATGATAAGTGGCTGGACTTAATGAATATGCTAAAAATGCAGGACTGGCACATTTTGCATAGGTGAATTTATGTGGTATGTGAAATAGATAATAAAGTAAATTACTAAACAAAATGAAAGTTGAAGGTTTCAAATGAGTGAACAAACAGTATGCAGTTTCTCCTCTTAACATGTATATAATCTTGAAGGGTTAATAAACTTGCACACAACTGCAGTACAAGACAGATGATTCTGTGTCACAGGGTGGAAGACTCTGTGGGCTAGTCTGGGAACCTAACATCCATGCTATTTCTTGTAGTATTTTACTTAAAATCATGGTGACATCATTCAAGCAATAACTGAACTTATTCTACCTGAGAATCTTGTCATGGAGTCATGGTCTTGAAATGGAGCAAATGTGTTCATTTTAAAAGTAAGCACTTCCTGATAGGTGCTGGTAGCAAGTATTTCCACTTTAATCCCATACCCCATTTTGGTTAAAGATATTATATGGAAAAAGCAGACTCCTAGCATTTGTGCCCTAATGTCCTCACACTAAGTGTCTATGAGTCTCATTTGCAATCTCAGAATAGACTCAGTTCATTAAACAAGAAAACCGTGTTTTTTCAGATGTTGTAATTTTTGTCTTTTCAAGTAGGAAAACCACGTTAAAATCTAAAGCTTTATTACTATTCCACTTCAATCACAAGTTCTTCCGAGGGTGAGAAAACAGCCTTGGGGGTAAAGCTCTAACCCATTTCTGCACTGCACCCGCCCTTGGCATTTATGAGAAAAATTGCCAAGTGATTGCCCAGGAGACGCAGGGCTGGGAGCTTCAGGGAGGCCAGAAGCCAGCGCAGAGTGTGAGGTCCTGCTGACTGGAATTCCTGTCTTCCGGGCCAGGCAGGGCCCCACCTCCTCTCTCCAGGAGGTCTACCTTTCCAGGCCCTCCCTTTGCTATTTAGCTTCTCTCTTCCTTCTGCCCTCCAAACTCTCCAAATGGCAATCCGCAGGTCTCTGACCCACCGTTTGGGAAATAAATTCTTCACCCCTCAGTGTTCCTGCCCCTTAGAGAGCGCTAAGGGAAAATTCATCAGCAAGATATTTAACCCATTCTTTTTCTCTAAAACTTCATTCCCGTTTTTTCAATCTTTCTCCATTTTACTGAATACACTTAGCTGACTACATTTCTTCACACGCAGGACCCTCCTAGTGGAGCTTCCAGGACCAGCATTGGGGAGGGGCTCGCTCTTGTTGGGAGCGGTCTCTTGTTTTCAGGGGTCTTCCTTCCCAGCATTCTCTGTTCTTGCTCTCAGCAGTGCCCCATCCTCTATGGGAGAAGTCTGCTAGGGGATAAGGTGGCACTGTGCCCTCAGGGAGTCTTCTGGGCCTCTTTATCTGTGATGCTCACAGAGTTGCACTGCCTCTTCCAAACAACACAATCTACCAAGCTGAAGGCAAAGACAGTGTTCGGATCTTGCCACATTTCAACTCCTGTTTTATCCCAGTTTTCCTTTAAAGGAAAAAAAATCAAAGACGATGGCCTTACACAGTATAAATGTGTGCTATGTGATAGCCCACAGATTTTGGTTAAAATAAGATAGTGGGGGCTGGAGAGGTGGCTCAGTGGTTAAGAGCACTGGCTGTTCCTCCAGAGGACCAGTTTTGACCCCAGCACTTACATGATGGCTAACAAACTCCAGTTCCAGGGGATCCACTGCCCTTTTCCATCCTTTGGAGGTACTGCTCATCATGTTGCACCTACCCACATGCAGGCAAAATACTCATACACATAAAATAAAAATAAGTCAATAAAATAAGATAGTGATAACAATGGAGATGTTGACCCTTGACATGTAGGTGTCTGCTTATTGACTAGGAAGCTGAACTTCCACCCACAGGCTGTTCTGTATACATTTTTAACTTCCCTGTATCATTTCCTCTGCTTGTTAAAATGGACATGTTGTTTATTAATTATATCAACTTTTTTTTTTTCTTTTAAGACAGGCTTCATTTAGCCCAGACTGACATCAAACTCCAAATGTAGTCAAGGATGACTTGTGATACTCCTGCCTCCTCCACCTCTCTTGAGTTGTACAAGCATGTACTCTTATGCTTAGTTTTGTGTGGTGCTGAAGATGGATGCCAGGGTTTCACAAATACTAGGCAAGCACTCTAGCAACTGAGCTACATCCTCGGCCCATATCAATCTTTTTCAAAGATGCTTAAGACTATTTGGGTGGATGCTGGAGAGATGTCTCAGTGGTTAAGAGCCCTGGCTGCTTTTCCAGAGGACCTGAGTTTGGTTCCCAGCACCCATATGGTGGCTAACAACCATCCATAACGCCAATTCCAGGGGAACTTACACCTTTTTCTGGCCTCCACAGGCATTGCAAACAAAACACTCATACCCATAAAATAAAAACAAAGAATAGTTGGGTTATTTCCATGATAATTTTTAAATTCTACTTTAAATGTTTTTAAAACTTAATAGCAGTCACTTAGATGACTGTAACTTTTGCATCTCCCTCTTCTGTGTCATTAAGTAGCTTCGCATACATGACTCATCTAACTCAAACTTGTGCGGTAAGGTAGTAGAGACATTTTGATATATTATTGGGTAAATGTAAATGCTTAGACTCTGACTCCCAAATTAAGATAAGCAAGACAGTGCTGGCGCCACTGAGGTGTGCTGCATAAGTAGCCTAGAGGGAAGGTGGATTAAATAGCATTAACCTATTGAAAGCGAAAGTGTAAGCAGTTCTGCCTCATAGTTGCTAAAGGAATGTGCCCATACATCATAGAAAGCTTTCAGAACATTCAGACACAGGAAACTGATTTCATATCTTAGAAACTTAATTTATGGTAATTTTAGTAGCATCCATCCAAAACTCATAAATCCAAAATGTTACATACTTACTATCATAGATGGGGGAAAGAGAGAGTTGAAAATAAGATTGCTTCCTTCTGAAAGGTAAGAGCTAGGAAAAAGCAAAGAAGAATAAAGATGAAATGCCTTCCAAATTATTTAGTTCAATTTATTATTTTTGTTCAAGTAATGATATCAGAGGTTAAGCTAATTGCTCTGTTTTCTGTCTTTCTATTTTAAGATGAGGTGAGCACAGACCACGATGAGTGTACAGGGTTTCAATACCTAGATGTACAATAAGTAATGCAATACTATTCTAAGTTTGGTGCTTTGTGGTGGCGCATGCCTTTAATCCCAGCACTCGGGAGGCAGAGGC